GTGATCTGGTCAAGTGTTCCACATACAACACGCTCAGAAACATTGATCTAAGAGATTGCATCAGCAGCATACTCCCGTTTGGTCCATCGCAGTCTTGTTTAATTTGCTAACATGGCTTAGTTTCACATCCTTCTCAACATCTAGGTCAGAGAATCCAACAGCTGCAATTCACATTATTACCCTTCTTCCCTGATCTTTTTGACTATCATTTAAAAATTCTGGGCTGAGCTTGGTGACTCATTCCTGGAATCCTAGCACCCTGGGAGGCAGAGGCGGGAAGATCACTTGAGGCCAGGGGTTTGAGATCAGCCCGAGCAAAAACAGAAAAATTAGCCGGGCGTGGTGGTGCATGCCAGCATTCCCAGCTACTTGAGAGGCTGAGGCAGGAGGAGCACTTGAGCCCAGGAATTAGAGGTTGCAGTGAGTTATGGTGATGCCATGGCACTCTAGCTGGGGTGACACAGTGAGACTCTATGTCAAAAAAAAAAAAAAATTCTGTTACTTATCTTCTAGAACCTTGTACTAGAACCTTTCCTTTCCTAGAGTCTCAGACACAAACAAAAGCTTGAGAGGCTACAAGGGCTTTTCCTCCTGGCTGGCTGGTCGGAAATTGCCATGGTTTGTATCACGCTACACCCTCAGGTATAAATCAGGCACCCCAATCTAGGCTACCTCAACAGCCTCCTTTTGATGGATTTCTGTCTAAAAATTGTACTTCATTAGTCAAGCGGAGAAGGTGAATCCATCATTAATAATGATACTAAAAGTAACTTGTCAAAGTTGGATATCATAATCTTCATAATTCAAAGATAATCTGATATTAAAGCTTTTTAAGTGCATTAAATAGTCAGAAACATATTTTCCTGTGATTTTGCAAAAATTATCATTCTGAGTTTATGATATTCTAATTTCATGTATGTAAGAAAGGACAATTGATTTCAATTTTATTAAATCCTAAACGTAATGCTTGGGAGAAAGGTCATGACACTGTGAATAGACTAAGAGTGTGATGTCTTGTGCTGGAACATCCTCCATCTTGCAGAGACAGAGCTTGACATTCACAACTGGTCTCACCCACATGGCAGAGACTGGCAGAGACAACAGAGACTTCCAGGGGCGATGTTTCCCATCATTTCTGAGAGCAACATAGAAACCTGAGGAAGTGTTCAATCACAAAACACAATGAACACTTACTGGGTGCCTGGAGTTGCTTGTCGCTGAACCAAACACCTGGGGAGCATGTTCAACAGAACATAAGGAAACTGATTACCTTGGAGTAGGCTGACCTTGTCCCTCCTAGTCTGTAGGCTAGTTTGGTTCTATCATGTGATGCTATACTATTGGCTTTTTAGGAGTTATGACTATGTTGTTTTTAATTTGTCTGGCTCCCGCCTATAGTGACACTGCAGGAAAAAAAGCTGTGCTTTTACACCCATCTCTGGTCCCAAGTTTATGAGAAGTCCTCCTAGAGGGGGCACTTTTCTGGACACCAAGGAAAATGTTCATAATTTAATTATTAAGATAGGAAAGTTGAACTGCAGGATTTATATAAATCAAAACTGATTTTGGTGCTGGGCGTGGTGGCTCACGCCTGTAATCCTAGCACTCTGGGAGGCCGAGGCGGGCAGATCGTTTGAACTCAGGAGTTGGAGACCAGCCTGAGCAAGAGTGAGACCCCGTCTCTACTAAAAATAGAAAGAAATTGGCCAAACAACTAAAAATAGAAAAAATTAGCCAGGCATGGTGGCATGTGCCTGTAGTCCCAGCTACCTGGGAGGCTGAGGCAGAAGGATCGCTTGAGCCCAGGAGTTTGAGGTTGCTGTGAGTTAGGCTGACGCCACGGCACTCTAGCCCCGGCAAGAGAGTGAGACTCTGTCTCAAAAAAAAAAAAAACCAAACTGATTTTGGTTCAGTGGTTTGGCCATACCCCAGGATTTGTCCATGGGTCTAATTGGGACACTTTGGGGGAACTGTCCCGACCTGCTGATCATCTTTTATTTATAGAGTTATCCTTTGAGTTTGCCCAGTTCTGGTCTGAAAACTCAGCCTGAACTACACTCACATTTTCCTCACAGGCAGGTGTGGAGATGATCAAGCACATTTTGAAAACGCAGCTTTCAAAGTTGAGTGTGAAATCCATTTAGTGGATCACAAGTAGCATCTTTATTTTCAATAAAATATAATAAAAATTTCAGACTGCTTTGCTTACAGGAAGGGTGTTGAATGAAATTTTATTTGTATTTGTATGTACATATATGTGTTATGAGTTGGAATGTGAAATAGATTTCTTATTTGGGGTTAAGGTTTAAAAAGTTCGAGAAATACTGATCTAGAATTTGACTTTGATCTACAGGGGTTAAGAGCACACATGCTGGGGCCCAATGTTCAAGTTTGAATCCTGGCTCCATCATTTGCTAGCTATATGATTTTGGGCAAATCACTTGTAAATACCATGGTAGCATGAAAGGGCTCATTAGCTGAAGGGGCTTTCAACTTGAGCCCTTCAGTTCTTAATTCCTGCTCTGTGCCATAGTTTTCACACATTTCACAATTGTGATATGAGAATAATAGTAGTAACTACCTCAACAGGTTAACATGAGGATTAAGTAAATTAACATTGTAAAGGGCTTAAAACTTTACCTAGTATATAAGTGACTTGCAAATGATTGTGGGAGAAAAATCCGTTCCTCAAGTATTTTACATATTGAATCAAGACAAGGAAGTTCCTGCCTTATGGATATTTATAATCTAATATATACATACATACTTGACAAAGTTGTCTGTTCTGAGTGGCATTATACTGGAATGCGTCCAGAGTGCCTTGGAAGCATATCACTGGGTTCGAACCACAGCTCGACCACTCACTTGCTGTGTGAACTTGGGCAAGTTATTTGACTTTGCAGACCCTCAATCTCTTAATCCATAAAGTGGGACTAATAGAATCTATCTCATAAGGTTGTTGCCAGGATTAAATGGGACCATCCACAGAAGATGCAGAGGGCTCAAGCAATAATTCCTATTGTCATTCTTACTGTTATTCAGATCATGCCTTTTCTTCTTCTTCTTTCCTGATATAATGAAAAGCAACCTCTCCTCTTCTTTTATGTGAATGGCTGAAGTCGTCATTTCAGTTCGACTGTGGTGAATCAACCACATAGGGGCTCAGATAAAGCCCAATACTCCTGAATAGGAAAGTAATTGTGAAACCCAGGGTTGGATTCAGACCGCCCCACTGTGCTCTCTCTTCAGCCTTGCTCTCACAACTTAGCTAAGTCACTAGACTTGTCCTTTTTCCTCAGCAGGTCTTCCCATCCCTGTGGTTAATTCTCAAGTGTCACAATGCAAGCCTGACAGCCGGAGGCCGTTTTGCAGTACAGCCCTCTACGGCAAGAGGGTCACATCATGTTTCCTTCCCCTTCATCTTGGGGGGAGGAAACCGATCAGGACAATGCTTGCTGTCTAATATGATGAAGCGCTTTGTATGATGTATCACTTGTAAATACCATGGTAGCATGAAAGGGCTCATTAGCTGAAGGGGCTTTCAACTTGAGCCCTTCAGTTCTTAAGGACCTTTGGCAAAACTGTAATGACAAAGAGAAATCTAAGATTCCTGAGCACCCCTTGAGGACCTGCTACTATTCTTCTGTAACTCTTTCCTCTTCTCCCACGGCACACTGTTCCTTGTAACATTTGCCATGGCTTTTACACATGGATAATGGAGCTATATTATGCAATATCAATCTCTCAGCTTGACCATAAGCTCCTCAAGGACAGGGGACCTGCCTTATTCATCTTTGTATCCCCTGCCAGCCCCTGGCACACATCTCAATCAATGTCTGTGGAATTGCAGCTGGTTGAATTTATATCTCAGGTTACAGTGGCAGAGCTCAGAATGGGAATAGAGCTGAAGGGAAGTGAGAAATCATTTATTTCTCACTGCAGAGCTGAGTGCTGGCTTCCAAGGAAATTCAAGTCACCCCAAAGGCTGCATCCTCCAGCCCCACGGAGGACCTTAAGGAGATTCTATCGACGTCTTTGGTGAAAGTTCTTTCTTCCAGTTCTTAGAGGAACTAAGGAAAATGCACCCCATCCTGCATCTTGCTTGTTTACAATCCGGGGTTAGGAGAAAGCAAACTGGAAACGTGAAGTCTTTTCATGTTCTGCTTAGCTGATGTGCACAGAAAGACAACGGTTAGGGCCACAGAGCCCTTTCTTATTCTGCTTGGTCCTAATTAAATACAGGGGCATAATTTATCTTCCTCCTTTTCAAAAGGTTCAAGTCTTTGACTTAACTTTTCAGTTTAAAACAGAAATAAAGGTAGAAAATGGTCTTTTGAGAACTTTCCAGGTGTCCAAGCCAGGCAGTCTGCCTAAGCCTTATATATATTTGCTCTAATCCTGCTCATAGCCAGACAAGACCGGTATTAAGGTCTCCATTTATTAATACAATTGAGGAAACTGAGGCCCAAGGAGCTTAAACGGAAATCCGGGGTTGGAGATCAGCTCCGTTTGGACCCACACACTGTACCACGGAGTTTCTCCCTTTTTCCTCGAGCACGCTGGTGGGTGCGTGTGTGTGCGCGTGACGGTGCGTGTTTCCTTTTCTTCCCTATAAAGCCGTCCTTCTGGTCAGTTTTCTTGATTCCACTTTTTGGGGACGAAGTCCAGTTCTTCTCCAAGGTCTCGCAACCCCCTTGCCGTTTCGCTCTGGCGTCCCAAGGACGGCCAGCCACTCCTCCGCTAAGTTTGGAGTCCCAGCCCTCGGCTCCGATTCCCGGCTGCCCTCCCACCCTCCAGGGACCGGCGCCGCGTCCTTGTCCCGCGTGCCCCAGCGTTCCTGCGGGACCCTGTGGCCCGCGCCTCGGCCCCGCCTCCCCTACCTGACGCCCGCGCGGCCGGGGGCGCCGCAGCCTCCGCCCACCGGCGCGCCGGCCGTGCCATTGGCTCCCCGGGCTGCCCGTCTCCTCCGCTCCGTCCCGGAGGCAGGTTTCGCCGGAGAAGCCGCAGTCCCCGCGGCTCCGGCGCAGCGCGGGAGCACCGTGGAGCGCAGAGCGCGGACCCGAGCGGGCATGTCCCCGCGCTCGGGAGTCCCCGTCGACCGCCGGGCCCAGGTGGCTGCTAACTTGGCGGCGGGCTCCTGTGGCCCCGTCGCGGCCATGTAGTCGCCGGCGGGGCTCCCTGCAACCCGGGAGCGGCAGTGCGAGTGAGCCGGAGCCCAGCAGCCCACGGCTTCCCCAGGAGGCGCTGAGTGCGCGCCGCGCCCCCGCCGTCCCTCGGGCAGCACTTTGGCCCGAGAGGGAAATGGCGGAGAAAGTTTCGGAGGCGCCGGAGCCGGTGCCCCGCGGCTGCAGCCGGACTCCCGCCCCTGCGCCGGTCGCCGCGTCCTCGCCGGGTGCTTCCTTGGCCGACTCCTCCTCGGGCTCAGAAACTCTGTCGGAGGAAGGGGAGCCCCGCAGCTTCTCCCGCGGGCAGCAGCCGCAGCCGCCGCCGGGCGGCGCCCTGGGCGTCCGCCTGCCCGCCGCGTGGGCTCCCGTGCGCGTGCTGCTGGAGCGTGGAGTCCCTGCGCTGCCGCCGCCGCCCCCCGAAGGAGCTGCGCCGCCCGCGCCCCGGGGCAGCAGCGCGTCCCAGGAGGAGCAGGACGAGGAGGTGGGCCCCGCCTTCCCCGGGCTCGCCCCCTCCGTGTCCCGGGCCACCCTAGCTCCCCACTTCGCACGCGGGCTGTGGGCAGGGGCGCGCCTTGGCCTGGAGAGGGGGAGGGACCCCTTGCGCTCTGCCCCGAGCCCTTGGTGATGACAGTTAGGAGCTTCCCTGTGGGTCATTGACGTCCCCGTGGCTGCTACCCGTGTGTGTCTACATGCGCTGCCTAGGGGTCTGCTGTTAAAATGTCAAAGCAGCAGACGCCTTAAAGTCTGTATCCTGCTTTGATCGGTCTGTGAATGCATGCGATCTGGACGCCTGGCATATTCTCACAACTAAGATCTGATTTCCAAAGTGGGAGTTGTTTCCCACCGAAGTGCTTGGGCCAAGGGGGACTGTACGTTGGGGATGGAGAGGCTGGTGGCATCGGTAGCCGCGGAGTTGGACGGCGCGGTTTCAGTGTTGCCAGCCTTCTGGGGTCTCCCGCGGGTGGTTTTGGGGTGTCGTGGTAGCATCTGTGCCGGGAGAGGAGGACTCCCCGAGCTCAGCCGGCGGCGGAGGCATGAGCGCCTGCAGCTCCCGTTCAGACTTGTTTCCAGGGTGTCTAGATGAGCGCTTGTCACCAAAGCGAATAGGAAACGTCCCATCTTGTTCAGGGGATGTGTCCTTCTTAGAACTCGTGGGTTGCTTCCTGACACACTGAGCATATGACTTTGGTGTCCTCCCGGCTGTTGTCTTTGGCTTTTTTTTCTGCTTTTGGAGGACAGTTAAGGAAGCATAAGGTTCTTCGTGTCTTTAAGATTGTTTGCGTTGGACGTTTCTTGTGGGGAAGTCATCTTGATCAGGCAGGGCCGTAAATAAAACATCACCCTAACATAGCCTTGTTATGAAATTAATTCCTCAGTGCCAGAGTGGTATTTCTCTGTTCTGATTGGGTTAGCTTTAGTAAATAATTGCCTTTGTCCCTTAGAAGCAAGTGGCGGCCCCTGGCTCCCCAGCCTGGCAAGCAAAGGCTAGATCTGGCACAAGAGGAGAGGAGGCCAGTGCTAGCCTGGCAGAGAAGGAACAAGCCTTAGTGGTCATTGGCCAATCTCTTGCAGTAATCATGACCCATTCCTGAATTCCCTCTCCCCCATTGCAGTATCCTGACTCCTGTTTCTGATCAGGAATTTTGGATGGATCTGAAGTTCCAGACTGATCCTAGTGGCAGGATGTCGGGAGTTGTCTGAGTGTTTAACCACTCACTGAGTTATGGCCTGGGAGAGATGACCGAACCTTTTCCTATACAAGCATTCCTTGCTGGTTACATCTCCCTTTGAAGATGCCAGGCATGTGCCAGATGTTTGTGCTGTGACTTCTGCTTCAACTTTCAGTGATGAGCACACTGTCACTGGGAAAACTAGGGGTATACCCTAACTTAATGATTTACCATTAGATTCTAATTTAATATTGTTAACTGGTAGAGAAGATGGTAGAGTTAGTCGCCCTGTTTTAGCTGTAGGAGGGTGCTCCGAGGTAAGAGATACGGTCTTGGGGGGCGGTCAGGAACTTCTCAGGTCTGATCCCAATTCTGTAGTTGACTTATTGCCTGGCCCCAGGGTGACAGTGTTTTACTTTCTTGGAAGTGGATATAATGATAGCTTATTTCACAGGCAATACAGTGAGAATTGGTTGATTGAAACACAGTTTGGAAAGTGGAATGACTAAATAACATTGGTCACTGTTTGTGAAATCTCTGAATTGGTTGTAAACTGATACAGTATTGGAATTTGTTGTGTAACTTAACCTGTGGCAAGGGATTCTGGAAATTGTTCAGGAGTGAAATCTTGACTTGCTCTGAAAATTTTAAAGCAAAACTAAAACTATGGTAATTTTTTTTTTCTTCCCTTAGGAGTAGAGAAGTGCGATAGTCTTGATGAAAGGGATTCAAGTCCAGTGTGCATTTTCTGGTTCTTACCCTGGTGAGGGTGTGGTGCAGTGGGTCTTAGCCTTTTGTGGTGTCGTGGGCCTCTTTGAGGATCTAATGAAAGCTCTCTGGCCCCTCTCCCCAGAAAGCAAACACAATTATAAATACCATTCTGGAGGGTTCAGGAAGGCCAAGTTACAAACACTCAGTTTAGGAAAGACCTGCTTTGATTTCTCCCTCTGTCACCTTAACCAGGTGTGGGATCATAGACCCTACAACTTCTGTAAGCCTCAGTTTTCTCACCTTTTCAATGGAAATAACAGCAATAGAGTTGGATATTTTACACATACCATCTAATCTTAGCACAGTAGCTAACATATATAGCATTGAGTGCCAAGTAAGTATTACTAAATATTAATTTTTCAAGTTCTTTTGTGACAAAATTTTGTGAAATGGAAGTACAAGATTGGGCTGTCCTGTTCTTTCATTAATGCATAATTTATATGCTGCCTTTCAGAGAATCTGAGGCAGTGTCTATTCAGTTTATTCCCATTTTATTAGTATAAGCTGGGAAACAGTTTTTATTTGTCCCAGGTTGTATCACGGCAAGGCATTGTGAGTGTAGTGTTATATGTAGCAAGGCACTGAGTATAAAGCACTAAAAGGCGTAAGTGCAGTTCAGAAAATGGAAAGAGGTTTATTTTAAAATTGTTATGTCTAGCTTGGGAGATTCATTATTTTCCAAAGTTTTATTTTTTTTTACAGTAACTTACTGTATCAATATTTAAAAAGCAAAATTCCAGTTTCTAGTGCATTATTGCGTGCTAATTTTTTGACAACTTTGTTAAAGTCATTTTGAATATATCTAGTAATGTCAACAGTTTGACCTATTTCATATTTTATCTTACTGTCAATATTTGTATAAACTTACAAAATTTCTACACTTTAAGCTATTTTAGCCCTTTAACTATTGATGTCTTAAAAACAATAGTTTAACATGACACTAATTGCAGTTTGTATGTACTTAATATCAAACACGTGAAAGTTAGAGGTAGAGTGTGACCTTTTGTTTAAAAAACTGCATCTGACTTCTTCAGCAAGCTCATGGATTTGGGGTCTGTGTGGGTTAAGGGTTATTACACTGCATTTCTGATAGTCAAGACGATCTAGATTGGAGGGTTGTTCCCTTGATAACATTTCTGAGATTTGCCTTTAGGCATTCTGCCCTCTCCCTTCTCAAAGCTCCTTGTGGGGGCTCTAATAAAGTACTCTGCTGCTGTTTGGTAAGTGTGTTGGTAAACTTGTTGAAGGCAGGAATTTTGTCTTTTATGCCTAGCACAGTGCCTCTAATATATTAGCAGGGGCTCAGTAAATATATATTGAATGAATGAAAAAAAAATGACATTTTTGAAAGTAGTTGCACATTTGATTGAAGGGTGACTGTATGATTCATTTATTTTGTCTGTTGTGAATTACGATGCTCAAACCTCTAGACCTCTCATCAAGAAAAACATTGGGCATCACAACAAAAAATATTATGAATTGTTTTTCCAGGTAAATTTTGAACAAAGTCAAATCACTGAGCTTTTACTTAGAACGCCTTTGAAGGGACTTGTATATTAATTGTTACTAACTCTGCTTCTCACTGTGTATATTAGGACTTGAAACTTTCAGGGGTTCTTAGAATGGTAGAAAAGGGCTTAGTAGCTAAGAGGATTTCCAATTCAATATATACAACCTATTTATACTCTGCTGCACTAAGGAATTTATTTTATTGGCATAAGCTGGGAAACAGTTTTTCCTTATTAACAGTAGGCACAGTAATGGGATGTCTTTAAACTGTTCTGTTAAATGGTATATGAGTATGAGGATTGCTTTTAACATCATTTTGGGGGTGTGTGTGGATTAACCACATGGTAGTAATGCAGTGGGTGAGTTTCTGGTGGTGTTGGTTAAGAGACCAGATAGCAAGAAGCAACCATGAATTCAGCAAAGCTTTTCATTGAATTTATATTTTATTAATCACAGCAGCTACATAATACAGAAAGAGAAGCAGTGCATAAATCTTGGCATATTTATTATTTAGTCTACTTTTGGATTCACTACTTCAGATTAGAAAATCACTCAATCAACTGAACAGTATGTGTTCAGTGTGACTCTGTGTGAGGCATCATCCTGGGCACAGAGATGGTTTTGACCTCAGGGAGCTTCTCCTCTAGTGGGGGAGATAGTCACTAAATGCATGATTATTGATTAATTGGTTTTAAAAGTGGCCCGTGGGGGAATAGGCTGTAAGGGTGTGTATGACCATGTTGTGTAACTCATTGAGTCTGGAGTTAAGGACTGTCTCACTGAAGAAGTGATGCGTGAGCCCACACCCAAAGGATGAGTAGGAGTCAGATGGCGGAAGGGAAGGGAAGGGATAGGCATGACCCAGGTCACAGAGGCCCCGAAGCTGGAGAGAGCATGGTGGGTCAGTGACTCTGAGAGGAATCTGGGTTGTTTGGCATGGAGGAGAGGAGAACCTGGTGTCAGATGACAGTTGAGAGGGAAGCGGCAGCTGGGTCATACAGAGCTGTTTGGACTTTCCTCTAGGGGTGCTGGGATTCTTTGAAGGATGTGAGCAAGGAAGTGGCTTGATCAGATTTGTGTTTGGGGAAAGCCAAGGTAGCATGAAGCCCACCTGTTGGGAAATGCCGGGATAGCCTATTTAATTGTTCCAGAATTGGAATTGATAAGCTAAGAAGATGGTCATTTAGTAAATGCTATGTAGATGAGACAGGGGTCACTCTTCATGGTTTAGGTACTCCAGGCAATTACATAAGAAATATAATAGGAAAAGAATTTAACTCAATTCAAGAGAACATCTTAGTGTGAATATTAATGCTGCTTTTCACTGTGATGTTGTCTCAGGCCTAGTATGTTCTTGCAGGAAAAACTTCATTGCGGTGAGTGGAGAGAGAGAGAAGAGGGCCTTGCAAATGCTTGTTTCCATAGTAAATTTTGGGGATGCATTTACCTGCGGGGAACAGGAGGGGAGGTGGTCTGAGACAGTGCCTCCCTGTTGACAGGAAGCGTGGGGTTTGGGTGCTAACACACATCA